TAAGTACCAAGTACTTTTCTTAAAGTATAAGTACCAAGTACTTTTCTTAAAGTATAAGTACCAAGTACTTTTCTTAAAGTATAAGTACCAAGTATCAAGTACATTTTTGCAAGTACAAGTATAATACTTTTACTTGAGGTACTTGTACTTGTCCTAGCCCTGATAGTAACTCATTTGACTGCATACGCTTATCCTATACGTACTACTTTTATATGCACTGTCATATGTAGATGTGAAGTCATTTTAAATGACCAATGAACTTTAAGCTAGCATTTGAATATGTATCGGCTTTCCTATCAATGCACTCTTCGACTAACACTTTTGTTCAGAAATAATTGAAAGGATAAAGCGCTGGAGAAAGTATATCACCTAGCACCATGGGTCCGTCTGAAGAGAATTCAATATCATAATTTATAAGAATTCTCTGAAAATTTGAAGAATCTGTCAATCTTCGTGAATTGAATGAAATTATATTTTTCTTTTGGGTTTTTATGTAAAGGTTTGGATTGTTACAAGTTATATCATGATTATTCAAATCCATCTATAGAAGAATTGCGTCAGAAAATTGAACAATTAGAGTTTACTATAGGACAGCTAAACGATCGTCATCAATGTCAGATATGTTTAAATAACGAAAGTACGATTATGTTTGATTGTGGGCATCGGTGTTGTTCCAATTGTTCAAATCAATTAAACAAATGTCATATGTGTCGAAATGATATAAAAAAAGATTTAAACTTTGTCTTTAATTAAATGTTAAAAGGAAAATACGTTCATCTACGCATTGAAGCATTTTTGAAATAGTTCATTATGGAAAGTGGTGAATTGAAACATATTTCAAATGTCTTTTTTCAAAAGGAACGCTTTTGCGAGAAAAACTCTACCAGTAGTTCAACCTATGCAAATCAGTCACGTATCACAATAAAAGTGGCACCTAATTCACAAACTTCAATATTGTCTCAAACATCTCCATCCTCGAATTTTTATAAAGGTTTTCAACAAAATAATATCATGGTATTCAATATAGAGATACAAAATGAAACATATACTGAGATTTTTAAATTCTCATTTAACGATAGTGACCCGTTACTCAATGTACAGGAGAGAGAAGATATAATTCGTCATATATAACCTCTTTGAAGACAGAAAAGGTTCGTAAGATTCGAGACTGTCTAAGAGAGTCAATGACAACTAAAGTGTCTCTAAGAAATATTTCATTCGATCGACTTCCAGTCTTCCTGCAGACTAGTTGGCATCTAGTCTTTCAAGTACTTTCAGAAAAGAAAAGGAGTGCTCCTGATCGACCGAACTTCAGCGGACAGGGCTAAAACATATCTACGTCTTGTTTCACTAATTAAAACTTTTCGAATGAAACAATCAGGAAAAATCTGCATTTAAAATAGTAGCAGTTTCTTGAACTTGTTAATTGGTTTTTTGCTGTAGCCTTAGATACCTGAATAACTTTAGCATTAGTTTCTTCTCCTTTTCCTTTTGCACATCTCTACATTCATATTACCAACTTTACTGATGAATTATTACAAGACACTCATTATAAAGTTTCGGCCGAGAACAAAGTCCGTTCGCCGAAGTGTTTGCTAGTAATACTGACAATGAATTATTGTAATGTTTCACTTTTCGTTCCTGGACTATCGAGCTCTTATTTGTCATCCTTATTACTGTCATTAATCAATTCTTTTCTTTCGTTCAAATCCATTGTGGATGGGTCCTATTATTGCACAAGTTTTATCCCTGCCTGCCGGTAAACTGATGACAAAAATTTTACCATCGAAATACATTCGGATATTGAAACGGCGGTTGACTTGAATCCTGACTCATTTAACACGAAAGAACATACATTGATCACCGTCATGGCTAACACGGCAGCTGGGAAACAGTATGCAATGAATATCATAGCAGTCCGTCGACTTTATTATCACGACAACCTAAATGATATTATTGCTATTTTCTTTCTTATTTCATCCCAAGTTATTGGGTTTGGTCTAACAGATATGACTCTAGTAAAAACGAACAGAGAATAGAAGATAATGGAACATCGCAGGATTACAATAAGATCACATTATATGGTTTTTACAAGATCATGACTGAAATCGGTTGAGAACAGTTAGTTATGCATTTTAATATTTCTGCGCTTTAATAGTTGATTGTGAACTGTTACATCCTCGGCTTTGAAATCACCTGTGAGTATAGATCCAAAAAGTCTATTTGATTATTCTCTGTGAATTCGACGTCTTCATATTAAAATCGAAAATTTCTTGAAGTAAGTCTCGAGCTTCGCGCATATTCAGAAATAGGATGACAAGTTACGACTTGCCCAATCGTGACGTTGAGTAATTTTTTCACACTAAATCGCTTTTATCTGAAAAACTATTATTGTGTACGATCCGAGATTGGCTGGCTGAAAAAAAGAGTCTAGAAAGAAAGAAAGAAAGAACAGTTTTGCTAGGCAACACTCGAAGTGAACAGCAATAAGTCTCCTGGGTTTCAGCCAGCCGACTTAAAGAAGAAATTTTTTAGTGAAAAAAATAAGCCGCACCGAGTTTCACTCGATCCGCTCAAAGAAAGAAAGAAAACATTTTTGTTAGTCAATGCTCAGAGTGAAAAGCTAAAAGGCTCCTTTCGTTGCACTCATTCGACTTCAAAATAGCATCGGGTCTGGGATCCATAACGATCCTATTGTGAGAAAATAAAAGAGAAATTAGTACAACTAGAACATATCATAATACAGAGAGAATAAACAAGAATAAGAAGGAAAGTTAATTGATGCACAGCAGTACATTAAAAACCATCAATGGTTTGGTTTAACAAAGTAATTGTGGTTTTTATTGTTAAGTAATCGGTATAGTGGTCTTAAAAAATCGTTTTGTATTATGGATCAATTTATTCACTGGGACATCAATCAAGTTTATTTGACTACAAGAAAATATGGTGATGTGATTTAAATGGAGAAAGTTTACTGTTAGATTGTAGTTTAACAGACTGAAGTTACTGAAATTTCCTGATAAATCGTTACAGAAGTATATTATTATGTATGTAAACTCATATTTATTTTTTTCCCGTTTCCTTCCTCAAAAAAGTTTCATATTTTGATCCGATAAATGCAAAACAAGATGTAAAATCCGTCTATTTTTGTAATAGTCTAAGAGTCGAATAGTTTAACAATCTAAAATCCTAAAGGACGTGTAACAGTCGAAAGAAGTTGAAAGTCTAATAGTTCTTTGTTGATTTGGAAGTCTAACTAAATTTTTCATTGTTACACTACTACTTTTTACTAGAGTCATATCTGCTAGACCAAACCCAATAACTTGGGATGAAATAAGAAAGAAAATAGCAATAATATGATTTACATACGAATTAGACTTTCAGACTATTAAACTTTTATTAGACTTTTCGACTTTTCATTTTACATACGAGCCAGAATCGCAAAATAATCAAGGTCTCACTTCACTTCCATTTTGAAGAGAACACCTTGGCCTATCAGCCCATGAATAAAAATCAATACATTTCTATGTGAATTTCGACAAATCCAAGCTAGTCTTCAAAGATCCTCTAAAAGATCCACTTCAGAAGTTTTTCCGAATTTACTTTTGCCTACAGAAATATGTGGTCAGGTGTCTAGTTTTCAAAACTGAAAATCGTAGGTCGCTATCTCATCTCTATCAAAAGTTATTTACAAAACAACCAAGTGCACGGTGTTTTGGAACGGATAGTAGTTTGATGGCATGCCATAGCATAAATATGTCTAACCCTATCAAAATAATGGATTGTTTTGATACGGTTAGACGTGTTTATCTAAAAACCTTCACAATATATAGCCAAGTTATGAAAAAACTTTTGAGAAAACTAGTTTAATGATAAGTTATTTATTTCCTGCTGAATTCTTGCAATGGCATCGTTTAATTTTGTCATATGAGGATAATCAACTGGTAAAAACTTTCGGTTCATATCTAACGCTTTTTGAAAATATTCCAGTGCTACGGAAAATTCTGCAAGGCTTTCATAAGTAAGTCCTATACTAAATAGATTTTCCGCCACTTTAAGATGATCATTGAAAGCAAATGTTTTGTTTCTAATCTGCAGTGCATTGTTATAATATTCTAATGTCAAGTTATGTTTGCCTTGATCATGATAAACACCTGCAGTGCAATGATAACTCATTGCTATTGCAATATGTTCTGGCGGAAGTAATTTTTGTCGTATTCTTAATGATTTTTGACAATATTCAACTGCTCGATGAAGTTGATTTAATTGACGATAAACAAATCCAAAATTATTTAAACTATTTGCAATGTCGAGATGATCTTCTACTTGTAATACTTTTTGTTTGATTCTAAGAGATTCTCGATGATGTTCTAAGGCACGCTGAAAATCTTGTTTGTCTTTATAAACTCTAATAACAAATTCAATTGTCACCACAAGCGATTCATCTATTTCTACGGAAAACGAGAAACTCCATGTTTCTCCATAAGCAGTTCATCTATTTCCAGAAGAAACTCGGTGCTTTTCTCAAAGAAGTTTACCTATTTCCATCGGAAATTCGCTATTTCTCCACAAGCGGTTCATCTATTTCCATGCTAAACGAGAAACGCCATGTTTCTCCATAACTTCATCGATTTCGCGGAGAAACTCGACGTTTCTCCACAGGACGTTCAACAGGTTCGAGAAGTGAGACTACTCTTAATTTCTTTCCGATTCGACCCTATCCTAATTTTGTCAATCCAGCAGAAACAGCAAGAAGTTACTGAACAAAAGTGCTTTTGCTGGTAAAAGTATGTCCGTTCGACATGAAACACACATCATTCGATTGGTCAAGATGAGCTGTATAAGATCGTGTCTTTTTCATCGAGTTTAGACCAAGTCTTGATATGTTTTTCCCGTCACATGCATAACATCGGCGTGACGAAATTAAAAATATATTTTCTTGCATAACTATTTTTGATTTTTTTTTCCACCAATTTCGGCCGATTTTTCCTCAAAAGATTGTCTCTACTCCTACCACAATGAGCCTGAAACCGAGAAACATTTTATTTCTTTTCCTTACGGAGAACAAAATAAAAGTTCTTTTTTCCTTTCTCCGTTCATTGCCTGTGTTCACGTGAAACAGTGTAAACACATTTTTTCTATATCTTATGTCTGAGGTAACGAGTATTATTCAAAAGAACTTTTGCTAAGAAAAGAGTTAAGGTGGTGTTTCTTATGTTTTCACAGAGTAAATATTGACATAATAACCTTATTTTACTTTAATGAACCAAAATCAAAGTTTCTAGTTTAGCAGAAGAACAAACTACGGTAAATATTCGATGGGAGCTATTACCATTTGGCTCGATGAATTATACAAACTTGGTAGTAGTGATAAAAATGATAGAGTTACAACTCATCTATCTTTATGCAAATTTGATCCATATTTAATAACTATTCGAGATTTGCAGAAATGCAATGATTATATAAGTAATTTACAAGAAGACAAGGATACAGTCCTGCTAATAATTTCAAGTGATACATCATCTCTATCGGCTGTTATTAGTAAACTTCTAAAACTTCCACAAATAGAATCAATTTACATTTTATGTTCAAATGAATTCAATACTGCTGAACTTTTCGAAATCTCTTCCAAAGTCGTCGGAGTATACACGCATGTAGAAGTACTATATCATCAGCTACGGCAATTGCCAAATAGCCGACGTCTTCGTAGACAAGGATTTAACCGTATGGATTTTAATCTCAAGTCGTTGCCGCCTCATAATGTTAATCCATCTATTCACACTACTACAACCATGAGGACTGAGCCACCGTCATCGCTCACTAGAGACACGGCTAATACGAAACGTCAAGAAGCAGAATTTATGTATGCACAGTTTCTAAGAGACATTTTAATTGAACTGGATTCGACACAAGAAGAAATGGTTAAATTTTGTCGTCAAAAATGTGAAGGAATTGAAACTCAGTTAGACTATATTAACGATTTTGACGATTATTATGCTACGTGTAACGCTATTTACTGGTATACGAAAGATTCATTTCTTTACCGTCTACTAAACAAAGCACTGAGAGACCTAGATATCGATACTCTTTATTTACTGCGATACTTTATTAAAGATCTACATTTACAACTGAAACAACGACATGCTTCCCAACAGCAGACAGCTAAATTAACGATAAAAACAGTTTACCGAGGACAGCTAATGAATAATGATGAATTTGATAGGAAAATTCGAAATAATCTTGGAGGATTCTTCTCAGTGAGTAGTTTTTTCTCAACAACATTACATCAAAATGTAGCAAGTGTCTATGCTGGTGATGTTAGTCGTAACAAAACATCGAGAGAACAAAGTATTCTCTTCTATATACACATTGATACAACTATAAATAAATTTCCATACGCCAATATTTCGGAAGAAAGCGCGTTTGAAGGAGACGAGGATGAAATTTTATTTACAATGGGAGCCGTATTTCGAATTGTATCGGTTGATTTGGATATTGAACAAGGCTTCTATATAGTTCATTTGAAGCTAACAGGAGAAGAAGACGAAGAACTAAAACAGTTAACTCAGTATTTGAGAAAAGACGTTATAGATGAAAATGCAGGAGCAAGCTTCGCACAGTTAATGGTAAAAATGGGCCACTATCGCGTTGCTGAATCCGCCTACCTTTCATTATTTGAAAATGATATTTATGTGGGTCATCCTGACAGTCATTCTTTCTTTCTTAATCAGCTTGGATTTATCTATGAGGAAACTGGTCAACCAGAGAAAGCGAGAGAATATCACAACAAATCTCTTGAAATCCGTCTCATGCAGTCACTAAACGAAGATCGATCGCTTTCGACTATATACAATAATCTAGGAGAAAATAGCCGAGAAATAGGTAACTATGAGCAAGCATTATTCTATTACAATAAAGCCTTAGAAACTGAACAGCCACTATCTGAGCCGGACCAGCACCTTCTCGCACTGTATCACAATAACATTGGATTGGTCTACGATGCGCAGCAACGTTACTCGGATGCATTAGAAATGTATAGCACAAGTATCAGCATCAAATTGAAGACACTTCCACTATTACATTCATCCTTCGCTCTAACTTATAATAATATGGGAGCAGCCTACTATGATCTCTGTGACTACGTTAAGGCAACAGAATACTTTCGGAAAACACTTCAAATTCGTTTAAACTCTCTTCAACCAGATCACCACCAGCTAGCTTTAGCTTATTACAGTTTGGCTCAATCATTATATAAACAAGGGACACTTCAAGAAGCATTAGATAATATGAAGAAAGCCTATGCAATTCGCTGTAAAAGATTGTCAGCTGATGATCCACAACTCATAGAAGATCAACGATGGATTTTACATGTAGAGAAGGAAATAGTTGATGCTAGAGCTCGATAAGAAGTACTCCGTAGCCTAACATTGTCAGCTTCTTTTATTATCCTAACTTAGTAGGGTAGTTCAAACAAGGTGAACGAAACGTTTACACAATTTATTGCCTAAAAGTCTGGCAGGGTTTTTGTCAAGCGACAGCTCTCACAATATCTTCGTGAATTCCGTCATTCATTTAAACCTACCTTTGTGTAACCGTCAGTGATAACACAGAGCAGGTTAATGCTTATCATAATCTATTAAATATAACTTCGATTGTATTTTCGATTGTTAACGTGCTAAGCAAAGTTCATTCAAAACAAAGTGAATCATCGTCCGATGAGTTTTGCAAAACTCCTAGAATTTCGAGCCGCTTGCTCATGGTATCAGCACCAGGGGAATACTTGATCACTAAGATGTTGGTTTTTGAGTCATCTACTTCAATCGAACTTAAAACGAACAGGTCCTTTTCTTTTATTCTTTTGTCAAAATTTCTATAAATTTAGCTCTGCTTTCTCGATATTTGTCTCAGAAAGCGGATTAGTAAGACAAATGTATGCACCTGAAACTATCATAGCCGAAAACACACTTAGGATGATAAATTTTTACTGAACCAGCCAGAATAATTTGGTCATATAGAAATTGGAAATAGAATAGAATTTTGGTCGTACTCGTACTCGAGGGACTGATACTCGTACTCGTACTTGTACTCGAGGTGGTTAGTACTCGTTTTCTCGCAAGGTGGTTTTCTGATGAGACCACATCGAGCATCATTAACGGCAAAGAATGTGTGTCTACTAAGTTTTCTAAAATGTAACAAAGTTTTACTTTGATTCCATTTACTTGAAGGTTGATAATACAACAAATTAAAAAATTATTTTAACATTTCGCTTTGTCAATATTTTGTTCTGACCTCTATCTCAAATAATAAGAGACTAATTAAGAGAATAACTAAAGAGAAATCTCGTACTTGCCCAGCTCTGATCTTTGCCTTGTTAAGGTATCCTGATACAAATGGTTCTGCCGATTTTCAATACCATTTTTTTCCGACTTTTTCCGATTTAAACGAAATTTTTCCCGAACCGTGGATTTTGCACTTGGCAACCTTATATAAGAGCACCAGAAATATAGGAAACATAAGATCAAAAGAAAAGAAAAATAAACGCATTATGTTTGATGCCTAATTGAGTCGAATGTATGTACGATACTAGGATGCTCTGCAAGCAAGTCCAGCAGTTTAAAAACTTATTTATGAAGTTCTCTATTTAAAATGGCCATATGGGGAAACAATGAAACGCATTATCACATATCAACTTCCGAAACCCCAGTGACCAAGGAAGAAGGAAAGGGGAAAAGGAGAAAAACAATAAAACCAAAAACATCTTATGTAATGGTTTACC